AAACTCTATATAAATTATTAATTATTACTGAAATTACTTCATAATAAGGTATTTAAATAAAATATTTTTGATAAAAGGCGGAAGTTCTATTACACGGGAGTATGTATAATGATATAATATGTACTACGTTTCTAAAGCGGTATTTATTTAAATAAATATTTTAATTTCTACGTATAGAATTTTTGATAACTAATAAAATCACACTGAGTTTAGTAAAGGAAATTTGATATAATAAAGTATAGTTCCTGTAAACAACCGTTTCTCAACCTGTGGTCCGACATGATGGGACAGGTGGTTCTCTGGCAGACTTAAATTTAAACTTTGTTCAATGATGATTCAGTTTAAATATTTTAATTCCAATTTAATTAATTACGTTTCCATATGTGTTAATAGCATGTTTTTAAATTTATACGAGTATTATAAATGGCATAGTATATCTGAAGTGTTGTTAATACCCACATAACTTTAAAATATTTAGACATAAATAAATTAATGGTTCCTAAATTTTTTAAAATATATTTTACTTCTCCTTGGGCTTAAAAAGATTGAGAAACGTTGCCCTAAGAACATGCCGTCCAGTTAATACTTATTATACCTTCTTATAAGTTTCTATCATGCTAATGACTAACTTAGTTCAATTTTATAAGGATGTTAAGAAAATTGACTTATCTTGTATAAGACTCGTTTGATCTTGTATAAGTTCGTTTGATTCTCATCATTCTCGGCGGTAGGTGTTTTATAACAATTACTATGGTCGTTGAAATACTGAATATAAATGGGGGACGGCCGAGCGGTCAAGGTGGCATCCTATCGCTCTGGGGGATCCAGGATCGAATCCGGACGGGTCAAATAATCCCCAGGAATTTTTCGGAGTGGTCCGTTCGGATATGTCGGACCTCGTCCCTCACCACTCGACTGCATGCATGGGCTTCAAAAAAAGGCCCTCTCAGTGCCCACAGGGAGGAAAGAGTTTTAAAAAAGTGGTGATATGAAGATCCATGTCTTATTCTCGTTCGATATAAACTTCTTTTAAACATTGTAGGTTAACGTTCGGATGGCAGAGGGGTTAAAGTGAGGGTCTACTGCTGTGGGGTCAAATCTAGGTAGGTCGAAAAAGAAAGTTTTCGGGTTACGTCGGACTCTATCTTTCTAATATCTAATCTATACGTTTCTATATACTTACTACCGTTATATTTTAACAGTAACTATTTTGATAGAATTCAATCTGTGGAAGATGGCCATGGCGATAAAGACTAGTGTTTTGCACTGTAGCCAACTGAAAATTTTTGATGCTTGCATATATCTGGCCGTGACAAAGAACTTATCTTACTACTCTTCTGCACCAATTTCGGGCCTAACCATGAGATCCCATGAATGACATAGAAGAATATCCGCAAGTGGAAATTTAATAATCAATAATTTATTAATGTTTTTTTTAAATTACACATTAAAGTATTTACATACTTTGTACAAATTATTAAAATTACAAAACTGATAAAAAATATTTTAAAATTAGTTTTGTTAATTTGATCTTTAAATTCCGTTATTATTTGAGTTGCATTCTGTAGGGGGAATGCACATTCCGTTAGGACCTCTAACAAGTTCCGGTTTACAGAAACAACCCGGAATACACAATTGAATGCAAGNACATTTTCAGCCTCACGGAATAAACCATCCTCGGGTGTAAATGAGTTCGAACGTATTTTATTAAATAAACATTTCTCAGCGATGGAAGGTGTTTAATGTTTAATTAAGTGTCATTTATTTATCCATAAATCTGGTTTTGGGTTTAAATAAAAGCTTTTTCAGTCTTATAATAAAATGCATATGAAAAATTATGAAATCGAATTCGAAGGTTATATATATTTCAATAAAAAGAAAACATTTGATCTAGCGCTCTTGCAGTGATTGCAGTGCCCCTAGTCGTAACATTTGTCTCTAGTTGATTTTAGCAACGAGCGAAAATAGCAAGTCGAAAGACCAGTTAATATACCGACTCTGCCATGAGATCCCATGAATGACATAGAAGAGAGTCCGCAAGTGGAAATTTAATAATCAATTATTTATTAATGTTTTTTTTTTAAATTACAGATTAAAGTATTTACATACTCTGTGCAAATTACAAAAATGATAATAAATATTTTAAATTAGTTTTGTTAATTTGATCTTTAAATTCCGTTATTATTTGAGTTGCATTCTGTAGGGGGAATGCACATTCCGTTAGGACCTCTAACAAGTTCCGGTTTACAGAAACAACCCGGAATACACAATTGAATGCAAGGTATTACATCATCATTATAATTAGTACAATTACGGGGACAGGCTGATCCACAATCATCGTACACTTCCGTAGAATCACACTGTTTTGTTGGAGCTGTTAAGAATAATGATGCCTGACATGAGATTTTATGTAAATTTAAGTCCTTTTTGTATTATATTAGACAATAAAATGGAAAAAAAAATAAATACCGAAGTATAACTTACCACTAAGGACTGTAGCAATAATACAAAGTGTTACAGCAAAGAAGAAAGTGAGCTTCATCTTGAAACTTTGTCTTGAATTTGTGTAGTTTACGCTGAATGGATTTATATATGGTCAAAAATTGCCAAAAGTAGATCAAGCAAACATCTGTTAAATATAGTTAAGACCTCGAGAGATAAACGTAGATAAGATAATATACAAGGAGTTTCCAAATAATAAGGTTAAAAAGATATTTAAAATAAATTATACNAATTTCATCTTTAAATTCCGTTATTATTTCAGTTGCATTCTGTAGGGGGGATGCACGTTCCGTTAGGACCTCTAACAAATTCCGGTTTACAGAAACAACCCGGAACACAAAAATTAATGCAATGTATTACATCATCATTATAATTAGCACAATCACGGGGACAGGCTGATCCACAATCATCGAACACTTCCGTAGAATCACATTGTTTTGTTGGAACTGTTAAGAATAATGATGTTTAACATGAGATTTTATGTAAATTTAAGTCATTCTTGTATTATAGTAGACAATAAAATGGAAAAATAAATAAATACCGAAGTATAACTTACCACTAAGGACTGTAGCAATAATACAAAGTGTTACAGCAAAGAAGAAAGTGAGCTTCATCTTAAAACTTTGTCTTGAATTTGCGTGGTTTACGTTGAATGGATTTATATATGGTCAAAAATTGCCAAAAGTAGATCAAGCAAACATCTGTTAAATATAGTTAAGACCTCGAGAGATAAACTTACATAAGATGATATACAAGGAGTTTCCAAATAATAAGGTTAAAAAGATATTTAAAATAAATTATACATTATGATTTAATTCTTAGTTAGTTTTTCATGATATATAGAAAGAAACTAGCATGATTTCTAGGGTAGGAATAGCATGATTTCTAGGGTAGGAATAGCATGTTCTAGGGTAGGAATAGCATGGTTTCTACGGTAGATTTCTAGGGTAGGAATAGCATGATTTCTAGGGTAGGAATAGCATGATTTCTACGGTAGGAATAGCATGATTTCTAGGGTAGGAATAGCATGGTTTCTACGGTAGGAATAGCATGATTTCTAGGGTAGGAATAGCATGATTTCTACGGTAGGAATAGCATGATTTCTAGGGTAGGAATAGCATGATTTCTACGGTAGGAATAGCATGATTTCTAGGGAAGGAATATAATGATTTCTACTTTCTAAATTTATTAAAGGTGTCGTTTTCTATTTTCCATTCATAAAGACCCACCCATAATAGGTATAAATTACAGCCCGCACCATAGTTTTAATATAGTAATGCCTCAATTGACAAATCAATTAATCAATCCTCGTATCAGTTGTATAACATGTTTCGAAATTAAAATAGATTTTTTATAATGATATTGTAAAGTTTTGTCCTGAATTTGGTAATATTAATTTACAGATTACATCAATTAAAATATCTCAATAATATAAAATTCTGTATGACCTAATTTTTCTTTAAGTAAAATTATATTTACTCAACATTATCTTAAATCATATATCATAATACACGTTCTATTAACACAAATATTTTATTAGAAAATTGTTTAAGTACATTGAAAATAAAACCTGTCAAATAAGATACCAGGATTGCATTTAGATTCACGTGTGAGGCGAATTGTCATTAATAAATAACAACTTTGTACATTTTTTAAAGCTCTTACCGTCCTTGAAGAGTTTGTTTTGCATTCCCATTCACGGATGCGATCAGACGTACGAAAGAACAGAATACGGGTATCCCCCGTACAACACGACTTCCGTTTCGTGAACAATACGGCGGTATTTCGGTACTTGAACAATTCGGCATTCGAATAGAAATTCTGGAAAAAGTTGTTCGGTACTCGACTGAACGACGACATTTTGTAAAAAGAAAAACGCCGTGGTTTAACTAAAATTAATATTATTAACACTTAATACACTACTTTTAATTGTGATTGTTAATTAATTATTGATTGAAAATAAATTATCGATAGCTTTAATAAACATATTTCTCTTAGTAACGAAAAGGAATAGTATACTTTTGCTAACTTCTAGAATGAAACCCTTGTTTTTCATTAGTCCTTTGTTTCACATAAAACGACACTTTTTCTAAGGCTGTGTACACATTAGGCGTTTTTAACCGCGTGTTTTAAGGGCTTGTACACATTAGGCATTTTCCGTCGCGTTAGGCCCTGTACACACTAGGCGTTTTTCAACGCGCGTTAGCTCGGCGTTTGACGAGCGTTTAGCGGAGCGTGCGCAGTGGCTCGGTTTGGAAATGGATGTGGAAGTGATTGCTTGTGTGTGGCTTCTCTATCGTCGCTATAAAAGACGATGGCAGAGGCAAAGAGAATTTTGGGTGCAACCAATATTACGAGATCGACTGACGCATGGAATGTTTCTGACGTTGTATCCAAAACTAAGATAATATGAACCCAAATTGTTTAATTCTTTTAGAATATCTATAAAATCATTTGACGATGGCTGGTCTCTTTTAGATTTCATCAATAAATAGACTAGTATCGAAATGATCGTTCTCCAATTCGGCCAACGTACGTCCGCTCTACCCGAAAGCGCGCGATCGAATGTACAACAACATGGCAGCACATATATCTCAAAACGCGTGACTGACGCCCGTAAAACGCGCGTTTTAACAAAAATCTATCAACGCGCGTTTGGCCAAAAGCGGGCGTTTGAGTATGTATGCATATGCAGAACTCTTGATTTTTTAAAACGCGCATTTATAAACGCCTAATGTGTACACAGCCTAAACGTAACTAGCCGTGTTATACGACACGTATAAGAATTTGAAATGACACGAACTCGAACCCGGTCCCTCAGAAATTAATTTATATTAAAAATGATATTAAAATTAATAAAATAAATATATTAATGTTTTCCTTTATTCTATTTAGAATAATTTTGTATTTAAATATAAAAATATTTTAGTTTTAATATTTATATATTTTTTATACAAAAATTTTTCGTGTTAACAAATGGCGCCACTATCGCACTAGTTATTTGGATTTTGAATGGAGATGTAGAAAAGTGTGATAGTTTTCTTCTAAAATTTAATTTAAAAAAAAAAAAAGAAAATGGGTTTATTAACAATTCTGAAGAAGTTAAAGAAAAAGGAGAAGGAAGTTAGGCTTCTTATGCTGTATCCTTTTATATAATAGATATATATAAATCAATATTTTTGTTTTGAATCAATCATAAAGTTTTGCCACATAATTGATGATAACTTCTGTATATTAAGCAAATAAATGCATTACAGAAGTTAGTAAATTCATGTATAGAACTCACTCTATACTCAAAATACAGATATTGTACATAATACACATGGTGGTACAAAAGTCAGTTAACCATTGTAAAGACTAAATTACTGTCTCATTTATGTAATAATTGTTCAAAATGGATTGGATTGATGGAATAAGGCAACTGGATATATCGGTGATCTACCAAGGTATGGTGCCTCTTGGTAGAACTGGTCTCTATTTAGGTATTAAACCAATGAAAAATAAAAATTGGAAAGCTTCAGAAGGCTAACTCATTGGTCAGGCACAAACATGAGGCTAAAACCACTAAACAGCTATCAGTGTTTAGTGGTTTTAGCTACTGGTAGGCTGCTTAAATTAAAATGAGATTCTTGTTCGATAAATAATGTCCGATGTTCTGACACATTTAAAAAATTGTTTGATGTAGACCTGTATTATAAAAAAAACAGTTAACTGACCTTTGGGGTTGCATATATCTGGAAAATTAATGAACTGCAATCTTAAATATGTTGTTACATTAAATTATTGTTTTGTTGTTTCTTATTTACATAAAAATGAAATTTTATTCATTATAAACGTAGAATATACACTTTAGATGATGATGGAGATCTGAGAAAATTGTGTTGTTAATACAAGACATCATTATCTGAAGTCTCTCTATTAACAGACAATGCAGTAACTGGATTGCAGATACACTATAAGTTCATAATATGGAATGTCCAATAATATAGCACATTCTGAAAAGTAACTGATAATTGAGAATTGTCCAATAATAATCCTGCATACTAGTATTCTAAAAATTTGGATTTGTTTGGTTATATCTCCAATGAACACAGGTGGAAATATGGTGCACACTTGGAAAATAAATATTGTGTGTGCAAAAGTCACATTCATTAACATTTTTACAGGTTTTACAATCATTCATAACACATGCAATCTATAAAATCATATATATAAAGCTAGATGCAACCATACCATACAAGCATTGGGCAAAATAGCAATAGAGATGTGAGCTTCGTGTGTATTTATCATCATCAGCCTGATAAAGAGTGTGCATAAACAAAGTGCATGCATTCAGCAGCTTGTGCTGTTACAAGATGCACAGCAATTGCTGCAATGTTCAGATTGCATATAACATATCAAATTTTATGAAAATATAAAAACATCTGGTAATCTAGCATTATTGATAAATGATGATCCAGCATCACTCTGGTCTCATAGATATGGGATTAACAAACTTCTGTACTTAAATTACATTATGAATAAATGAGTTTTAAATCTGCCTTCATTTTAAATTCAATTTACATGTTTCTTAGGACAGATGTTGAAATTATTTTGAAAACATTAAAAAGTTTATTGATTTCACAGATCAGGACAATTTAAATTTAATATATACAATTACACACTATCTTTTCAACAAATATAACATGAACATTGAGCTTATTGTAATATATTTAAATATGTTTGGATAAGATGATCTAATTCTCAATAGATAATAATTTGAAATGTATAAATTTAAAGCTTTAGAAAATTATAAACTGGAAATGTTTAAGATGGTTGTAAATTATTTTATAAGTTAAACAAGTGAATAAAAAATAAAATAGTTTGTCCAAGATGTATTTAGATAATGTGGCTTACACAGTAAAGCTGTCATGCGAATCACTATGAACGAATAAATAAACACTAACCAATGTGAAATGTTTGCATCACACAATATGACATAAACAGAACATGACTTGTGAAAAATCAGTTGGAATCTTGCTTCCTAACCAATACTGGCAC